TCCAGCTGCATTGAATAAAGGAGTCCTGCCATGTTTATCACATACGTTGACATCCGCACCTTTTTCAATCAACAGACGTGCAACCTCTTCGTTGTTATTTGTAGCTGCACTGAATAAAGGAGTTTGTCCAGCTGCATTGAATAAAGGAGTCCTGCCATGTTTATCACATACGTTGACATCCGCACCTTTTTCAATCAACAGACGTGCAACCTCTTCGTTGTTATTTGTAGCTGCACTGAATAAAGGAGTTTGTCCATCTTTATTAGATACATTGACATCAGCACCTTTCTCAATCAACAGACGTGCAACCTCTTCGTTGTTATTTGTAGCTGCACTGAATAAAGGAGTTTGTCCATCTTTATTAGATACATTGACATCAGCACCTTTCTCAATCAACAGACGTGCAACCTCTTCGTTGTTATTTGTAGCTGCACTGAATAAAGGAGTTATTTTATCGTTATCAGATACATTGATATCAGCACCTTTCTCAATCAACAGTCGTGCAACCTTTTCGTTGTCATATTGAGCTGCACTGAATAAAGGAGTTTGTCCATCCATATCAGATACATTGACATCAGCACCTTTCTCAATCAACAGTCGTGCAACCTCTTTGTTGTCATTTTTAGCTGCACTGAATAAAGGAGTTTGTCCATCTTTATCAGATACATTGACATCAGCACCTTTCTCAATCAACAGTCGTGCAACCTCTTTGTTGTCATTTTCAGCTGCACTTAATAAAGGAGTTTGTCTATATATATCAGATACATTGACATCAGCACGTTTTAAAGCGAGTAGCCGTGCAACCACTTCGTTGTTATTCGCAATTGAATGAAAGAGGGCCGTTTGTTTATTATGATTTCTTTGATTGACTTCAGAACCTGCATCAATTAGTATTTCTGCAATCTCTTTATTGCCCTTGAATGCAGCACACATCAAAGGTGTTCGTCCTTCATCATCTCTGACATTGGGGTCTTCACCTTGAGTAATTAGTTCGCGTGATAGTTCATTATTGCCGTCAAATATAGCTTTTATCAAAGCACTGGTGTTTGTTGAATTATCATACAAATTTATTACTGACCAACTCATTATTTGATTGATCTCCTTTGTTCAGTTTATTACTATTTTCGATCGTTTCCTTTTAAGATTTGGAAATGTGGATCATCATTTTCTCTTCTCATCTTAAAAGTGGACAGTCAATCACTAGCATACTTTTAACACTTGGGTCTGAAGAAGCAAGAATTGTAACATTCAATGATCACCAAACACCATAAACATTGTTGAGAAAAACAAAATTGCTGGATCCTCAAAGGAAATTGTGGAAAATTGCTATAAACGTTTCCAATCAATTCAAACCATCCGGGAGTAATTTTCATTGTGCGTTGTATTTTCATTTCATAGTTGAATTCTCGTAGAAACAAAATGTTTTTTCCCACAGGATTTGAATTGGATGGTAACGTACATGGTAACCGTTAGCCGATTAGGTCTATTCCATCATTTTTGATCTCTAAAATATATATAGCATCCAACACCATATAAAGACAGCTTCAAAATGTTTTGTGTTCTTACCAAATGTAAGCTGGATTTTTAATCATCACTCAAAACGAATCCAAGGTAAACTGCTATGTACTAAGCACTTTGTTATATGTCTAACGATAT